TCTGCCTTGTCTTTGATGAGAAAGGAAATTTTTTAATTTACAGACTCTTTCTTCCAAAACTGCTGGAAATTTGCCCAATGGAATGACTGTTGCTAGCAGATCTGATCAGTGGTAAAAACAAAAAAATCTATTTCTTCTAGTGATAGACAAATGGGAGGTAATGCAGTTTTCCTAAGTCGTATTATAAAGAGGATTGCGGATGTCAGGTATGGCTCTAAATGTTGCAGTGTGCTTTCTGGGTTTTAATATTTGAAGATTAGGTAGGGTTTTCATGTTTACAAGCCTGGGTGCTTTGATCAACATAATGTTTTTAATGCCTCTTGTAATGATTTTGGAATGTTCTTGGCGTAACGTCCAAACAAGGGATTTTACTAATGACATCTTAGATATATGGTCATTGTCTTCTGGGCAAGGGTTTCCATGGATGGGAATAATTCTTGCATATTTCCAATCAAAAACAAAATATGCTTTAATATTACATACATCCTCTTGACGTCAGTGAATCCACGTAGCTTCAAATATGGCTAGAGTGGTGCATTAGCCTATCATTACCTTTCAGTATTATTGTATCAAATCATTCTTTAAAATATCTGGAACTATACGTTTAAATACTCAGAATCCTTTCTGAGATGAAACCCCTCCTACTTGAAGAGAGTCTATAGAGCAGAAAGTCTTCTCAAATGGCTGGAGCTAGGTTTTCAGCTATTCACTCATTAGTTATATTAGTGTGGGCACCTTACATACTCCTCTGAGAGTCCCATTTCCTTATCTGTAAAATGGGAATCATTTTACATACTTGAGGGCACATTGAGAAGTTTAATTTGATAATGAATGTAGAACACTTAGTTGATGCTTGGTATTAGTAAGCATCCGGGAAATTTTAGGTAGAAACAGCTTGTTCCAGGGGCGCCTGGGTGGCTCAGTCATTTGAGCATCTAACTTCAGCTCCAGTCATGATCTCACAGTTTATGAGGTTGGGCCCATGTCAGGCTTGCTGCTGTCAGTGCAGAACTGGCTATGGATCCTGTCTCCCTCTCTCTCTGTCCCTGCCCCACTTTCTCTCTCTCCCCCAAAAATGAACATTAAAAAAAAAAAAAAAAAAACAGCTATTCAAACCTGAAAAGGAAGCACCTCTTTATTCTCATTTTATTTGCTCATCCTGTAGTATTCACATTGGTATACTCTTGTGGGCCAAAAGGTTTCCCCCCAGAGTACAGCCTGATGCGTGTGTATTTTATTTTGAGAACTGATTCTAGGAGATACAAGTGAGGGACTGAGATGAGATGAATAGGGGAAATGGGAAATAGAAAGGTATGCAGCTGAGTCCCTTGGGGCCTTGTAAAGACCATGCAGACTATCTGAGGAAAGAAAATGGGGAACATGTAGTCAACCGCTCCTGTCTTCCATTAACCAGGTTTGAGTGTGGGTATGAACATCCTGATGTATATTTGTAGTGCGTAAGTGAATGAGAGTGTTGGTTCCTGTAGAGAGCTGATATTATGGCAAAGAATCCCCAGACAGAAAGGGAAAGAGAACGCAGCGAAGGGAAAGTTTTATTTATGCACTGCTGGGTGCTGTACGATGTGAAGGTGGTGAGAGCATTTGAGGAGAGACGAGGAGGTATTTCATACGTGATTCTTTATACAGGCCAGGCTCCCTCCATGATCTTTGAAATTTGAGAGCAATTCAGTCCCAGATTCTTCTGTTTCAAAGCCCACCACTTGAGGACAATGGCTTAAATAATCCCCTGTATGGTAAAGACCGATGTTCACATCACCTCTTTCTAGTTGATCTACAACTGGAATGTGCATGACACTCAAAGGTGATTCCTATCCTAAGTATCCAATCAGAAAAGACACCCTCTCAGGGTGAACTAAGACCCACGTTTTGAAGAGTATCTTCCTTTAGTTCCCAGGAAAATTCAAACAGATCTCATGGTCTCCTTAGTGTCTAGGTGTTGAATCAGAGACCTCCATGGAGGCAATTAACATAAAAAGTAACAGAAACAACACTTTTCTCTTTTAAAAATAGTTTTGAGGGGTGCCTGGGTTGCTCAGTCCGTTAGGTGTCCGACTTGGGCTCGGGTCACGATCTCACGGCTCATGAGTTCGAGCCCCGCGTTGGGCTCTGTGCTGACCGCTCTGGGCCTGGAGCCTGCTTCCGATTCTGTGTCTCCCTCTCTCTCTCTCTGCCCCTCCCCCGCTCATGCTCTGTCTCTCTCTCTCTCTCTCAAAAATAAATAAACATTGGGGCGCGTGGGTGGCGCAGTCGGTTAAGCGTCCGACTTCAGCCAGGTCACGATCTCGCGGTCCGTGAGTTCGAGCCCCGCATCAGGCTCTGGGCTGATGGCTCAGAGCCTGGAGCCTGTTTCCGATTCTGTGTCTCCCTCTCTCTCTGCTCCTCCCCCGTTCATGCTCTGTCTCTCTCTGTCCCAAAAATAAAATAAAAACGTTGGAAAAAAATTTTTTTTTAAATTAAAAATAAAAAAAAAATAAATAAATAAACATTAAAAAAAATTTAAAAACATAGTTTTGAAAGGTTATGTGTGTATCTGTGTGGATGATTTGATACTGCTTACCTGTTTTATTATAGAATTTTTAGTTTGTCTTGAGGTTTTTACCTTTAAGGGGCAAATCACACTTAAAAAGCCTGCTACTGGAGTTCTAGGAAGCAGATAGAATGCACAAATACACGTGAAATAGTTGGATTGTAACCAAGGGCAAATGGATCAAAGAGAACATTCAGTCACATGATTCTTCTAATAACTGGTGTCTATGTCGGTGAGCACTCCCTTTTCTAAAGCAGCCCAGTGATTAAAACTCAAAGAATCACGGGAGATGAAAAATGTCCACCTTCCTATTAAGCAGTATGTTTTCACTGGAGGTCTATTTAGCCTTTAAGGTGAAAGTGGGTTCCAGACAAATGTCTTTCACATTAGAAACTGTATTAAATTAATTGAAAAATAGATAAACATTGATAATAGTAATAAAACAGGAGAAATGATGAACAGTAAAAGGTAAATACTTTTAAAATGTTGCTCAAATAGACATTCAATAAAACCACATCTTTCAGACAGCATAATTATTTGCATCATAAAAAACTCTAGTGGTTGAAATTTAAAATATTGATTAAAAAGCTTCAGTTGGACTTCAAATCAGCCTAAAAAGAAATTTCCATCTTAATAAAATAGGCAAAACTTTCCTTTTAAACATTAAAACTTATTTTTTTTTTAAAAATGTGTTTACTATTCTTGAAAAAGACCTGAAATGGGTCTCTCAGAAAAGTGAGCCTTTCCCATTTTAAACTGAATTCAGCGGAGCAGTGAAGACACAATACCATAGCATCCAGAAGAAAAGTCGAATATCTAAAAAACAATCTCTACGTTTCCAAATACCCAGATTTTGGAGTTGATCCTTTAAACAAACAGGAGGGTTACTGAGCAGTTCTGTGACATCTTTAAGTTTCCTCCTGGTGTTCTAATGTCATGATATCCAGCCTGTCCTGAGGAATTTGAGAGAAACCACAAAAACATAGCACGCTGCCTAGAATTATCTGAACTTCTAAGCTTGATTACAGACTTTCAGACATCTGAGAAGATCCCTTAAGTCACCAAAGTGATTTTAGTCACCAAATTTAATATTCTCATGACTTAAATTTGACTTCAGACAGTCAAGTTTATTTTACACTCTCAGTTACTTACTACTGCAAGTCAATACAGCACAGGAATTAATGCATTTGTGCCTTCAACTCAAATAGCAAACACTGCTGTTGGTGAACTTTTTGGCCAATGAATAAAAAATATTTCATTTCTAATTCTCACCAGAAGGATTTAAATTAAACAGTAACAGATGAAGTGGGCAGGCACAGAATACTAATAGGAACTGGCAAATGAAATAATCCAGCTCTTTGCTTTTACAATGAAAATGAGAATTGATTCTGCATTGAGAGAGAGAAGTAAAAGGACCAAGTGTTTTAAAAAAAGCCTTCTCCACCAAAAGAGCAAAATAGCACTCAGTGGCATTGCATTGTTAACAAAATTTCTTTATCAGAAACTATAATTTAATATTTAAGTATCTAATTTACATGTGACAAGGTATCATATTCAAAAAATTAAATTGCAACTAGAAAACTAGTAACCACTAAAAACGATACCAAACACAACCCAAACATTTATAGGAAAGCAACAGCTAGAGTCTGAATTGGAAAAAATGTTTCATCATATTTGGCTCATTAAACAAAGCATCCATTACAGCCTGTAAAAGAGCATCTCTTGTAATTCATCAGACGTTTATCCTTTGTAGCATGAATAACATGTAAAGATAGATTTATTGACTATATATGCACACGTGTGTCTATATATTGTGAGACATACACTCGTGTGTTGTTTTAAAGATACTGTATCTACTGATAACTGGCTGAACTTTGGAAGGTGCTGAAATCCGTATTTCTACATGACCCTTGACCCACTTAATAATGTCTTTTTATAAACAGAAATTACATAAAATACTCTGTTTTTTATTAACTGAATATTTTCGTAAGCATAATAATAGACAATGAAGGAATTGCACTTGTAAAGATACAGGTGTTAGATTGCAGCTCAGCCATCAAAGATCAGGGGTGTGGTACTGATAAGTAAGTGTGCATCCTATGCAAAGATGATGGTGGCCACTGAAATTAAAATGAGAGCAACTAGTTACAGAACAAAGAGGGGGATAACAGAAGAAAACATGCACTACTCCTACTTTAATGCAAAACTAATTTCTCCCAGGAAACCAACCCTTAGACCTTCCTTACACAAAGAAACAGGTTCTGCACCCTTAGCAACACAGTAGACTTGGACATCTGGTTTCAAATTCTAGTTCATTGTCTCTGAGTGTGCTGTTCCAGTGTCACCTCCTTAAGCTGCCCTTGGAATTCTGGAGCATGTACAATATTACAGTCTCTTGGTTAGGTTCCATTGAGCCTCAATATCCCCTTCAGTTCTATATAAATAGGGTCCGTTATTCATCTTCTTCTGGTTCCTGTGGTAACACGGGTATTTCTTCCTTTAAACAATCACTGAAGAATCTGAGGATTGTGCTGTAGAGATGATACTTGCTCTTCTCAGATATGTTATGACCTTCATCTGGGTAGATCTAAGATATTGAGGGAGGAAGAGATTTAAAGTTACCAAATAGATACTGTCCCTCAGAATTCATTCCTTTAGCCCAATGGCAAGGCAACTTTGGAAAGTAATATCTGACCAAAACCTAACCTAATTTAACTCTTGAGTTCTTTGTGCCCAGCTTTTCTTTTTGTAATTATAATCCCATGGTAATAATTGAGATAAAATACAATTTTCTACGTATTTAAATTAAAATTCATTGGTCAAAAAAAGTAGAGCTCTCTGTGTTCGTGTTGGCTAAGACAACACTAACATTCCCCTCAGCTTGACTAAATTTTAAAGTTTCTTCCCAACTATAGGGCCCTGACCTTTCTTTTCTTAAGAGCATTCACTCTAGAAAATTCGCAATTTTGTAAATTCTCTGTCCCTTTGTATGTAAATCTTCTTCAGTAGTGCCACTTTTACAATTTAGGAAATGTCCTTCTCAAGGACCTAAAAGCCATTTCTCCTAAATGTAAATATTGAAGGGGATAAACCCTCCTCCAAGTTGTAAAACTACCTTTTGTCATAAAGTTTACTTTTCCTTTTGGTAAGGTGAATTACCACACACAGATGACCTATGATTCCCTCCACCTCAGTTATTAAATACTCTCCAGCCCTCTATTTCAAAAGATTTAATTTCTCTCCCCTTTTGCAATAGTCTTAAATAAAGTCTTCCTTGTCTGTTTAATCTTGTCCGGTACAAATTTTATTTTGACCATGACCCCTCCAATATAAAAGACATTAGTAATTTTTCTAAAATTACAAATACAAATATTTGTCAATTCCTGGGTGTAAAGTTTTTATTTTTTTTTTTTATTTTTTAAACTTTTTATTACTTTTACTATTAACATGACATCACTTATTTTTTACTTTTTTAATATTTTCAAGTTTTTATTTTAATTCCAGTTGACTTACAGTATTATGTTGGTTTCAGATGCACAGCACAGTAATTCAACAGTTTCATACAAAAAATATAGAGTGCTTCATGAATTTGCATGCCATCTTTGCGCAGGGGCCCTACCAATCTTCTCTGTATTGTTCCAGTTTCAGTATATGTGCTGCTGAAGCAAGTATCTAAGTATAACTTTTTTAGATGGTGCCTCACTGCTGTGACGAAAGCCTCCTGCTCCTTCGTATTGTGGCATGACCTACCATCTGTCTATCTCTACATCTCCATGGGTCATCACCCTAACCCTGGTACCTGCGTTGTAGAAATGTTGAACTACTTTTGGTTCTTTAAAATGCTGAAAAATGAAAATCACTTCTTTTCCCCCTTCTGTGACTCCTCCCTCAGACTGAAAGTTCCTTAAAGGTGTAAGATCTGTCGTATTGATCCATCTAGCCCAGTGATCGCTATAAAGTAAGTCTTTGATACCATTTACTATATGTGGTTGCGCATGTAATAAAGGATGATAAAGGGACTAGAAGGGAAATAGAACATTAAGCCTTTAAGACAATTCATTATTCATGATAGAGATGAAAGTCTGAGAGGAAAAAGATGCTTTTGGAAGTTTATTCAATTTAGTTATCAAGCATGAGCTGATCTACCTTCTCAGCATGGTAACGGGAAAACAGCCCACAATCTTTGATACGTAAAAATCACAGTTAAAAACAATAGCATGGGAGACAGAGTAGTACAGAAGCTGTGTTCTGTATCCCATAACTAAAAAACCAAGGTAGGAAAACAGTCTTGTGAAAAAGTGGCTTACCTGCATAGTATAATTCACTCCAGCTTTTATTAGATGTTTGATTAATTCTGCTGAATGCTGGAAATGGACTTTTGCTGTAAGAAATTAAATTATATTATTCAATGCAGATACATTTGTTAGGATCAGAACGTTTTAAATCATTTTTTAAAGAGATTATGTTACCTCACATACATTGCACATCAACTCGAAAGCCAGTAAGATACGATGATGATAAAACTTTGAGGTTTATGAAAAAAAAATACTAAACATTACAAAAAAAATAGATTGACACAGGAGCTACTACTGAGGCTGTACTTATTGTAAAGGATGGTATTTAAATTTACTTTATCATTTGTTTATTTCTAATTGTTCAAATATGTTATATCATTACAACTATTTAACACACTGAATATCTATCTGTATGATAATATAGCAAACCATCTTTCCGTTCCTCTCTGAGGATTACTGGGGCCCAGTCTCTGTCAGATACTGACATTTTGTTTTATTTTAAATTGGAAAAAATTATTCCATGTTAAGAAATTAGACTCTACATCTCATTATTGAAGGACTCAGTATTTAATGGGGATCATACAGGTTTCTCCTGTTTCCTTCTGTCTTCCCTCTCTGCCTGAACCTGAGGTCCGAAACTCTGAAATACACGGCACAGTAGATTGGGGCTGTGTAAATTGCCCTAACTAGCTCTGAAGACAGATGGAGCACTCAAACCTCTTTGTGCAGCACTTGGCTCAGATGCTGCCTGGCTATTTATTCCTATACTTTGTGCATCTTTAAATTTCTGTAAATAACTTTTAAGCTAACCTTTAAGTGTCTTTATTAAACTAGGTCGGACTTAAATAGTTTAATCTTCTTCATTGCTCTAATTCTATGATGCTGCTTAATCCTACTACATAGCAGACAATAAAAGATTCCAAAAGATAATTTAAATCTTTTTAAAATCTACCCAAATCTTTTTCAACTTCTTCCTTTTGTACTTAGAGTATTACCATGTTACTTCTTTTTTTTTTT